TGTTAACGTGTTATTAATATTGTTTTTGCTTTAAATTTTTACATTAGTTTTTATTATCCTATCTGCAATTGACTGTTCAATTGAGTTTCTACTTTTTACATCGTTGGAACTAAGAATATAATTTTACATGGTGGTAAGCGACAAGCCTGTCCATTACAGTTGTAGTGCCTCCATTTGGGCCCGTCATCCTGAGACATAACTTGACAAGTCCTCGTAATTTCACCAACACCCTTTAAACAAGGAACGCTGTAATTTATACACAGTACTGCTTGGCAGCAGAAATAGGTAAGATAGCAGTACTTCCCTGGATGAATTATTTCACAAACATATCTACTCTTACAAAAATTCTTAACGAATATAAAAATCGCCAAGTTGATCCGGAGTTTTCGATCGATTTGAGTGAGTACTGCAGCCGCTACTGCAGTTACGCAAGTCGATTTCAAACTATCGACTTGCCGCGCACGCGTGCTGATCTATGGCGCAAGCTTCCATCATTATTCTCATTACAGTCAAGTGTTCGCAGTTGCGGCACACCCTTCTCGGTGACTTGGCATTTTTACTGCGCGTTAGCTTTATGTGTTATTGTAGGTAATTCAAGATAATTTTAATTAAAGATAGTGAGACTAAGGGTCGTATTCTAGAACTCTACTCAATGCTCAAGTCAGGATTGCAATTGAAACACAAGCACTGGAAATACGACCCTAATAGCAGGGACTTGAGTATGATTTCGAGTGCTTTAAACCATACTCAAATCCTGACTTGAGCATTGAGTAGAGTTCTAGAATACGACCCTAAGAGTCCCTACGACCTCTGCTCGAATTCAAATTTGTCCCGTACTAATATTATTTTCTTTATTTTGCTTGAGTCGAGCGGCAGGCAATTTCAGAATTTATTTTTTACAAACTAAATTCAAGCTATTTGAAAAATGTATATCGTATAGTACACGTGTTCCATTTAGTCCAGTTGATATAAAAAAAAATCATTGGTATATATAAAGTACCTATTGTATACAGTAGATTTTTTTGTAAAATTTCGAGGTAAGTTTTTCGAGTGTTTTTCTTCTGTCGTGAAATTAATAACATCAATTTTTCTAATTATTTTCTCCAAAGTGGTTGATTCAACACTTTCGCTGTTATGCGGAATCAACCAAAGCCTTTTTTTGTATAGGCTTTTAAGAGTTACAGAGATAAATGCGATGCTGTAAGCTTCTTTATGAATAACTGTTGTTAGCTAAAATACGTCACATTGATAAATGGTAACGTGGCGTTTTATACACTTACTTTCTTTTGTACTCATATGCAATTAACTTTCTTTTCTCGTTTAAACATTGCTAATCTAGCATAATTTCAGTTGTTGTTTACGTACCAGTTTGACAATTGAGACAAGTTGCTCCGTTTTTTTTTGTTCCTAAAAGGCACGATCTATAATGTTTGAAATAAATTTTACAAAATGACAAACTAATACAAATTTATATTTATTTACAAAGAGCAACCCCTAGAGTTTCTTGCTTATTCTTGTTGTGGTGAAGTAAGTGTAATTTGCTTATCTATGATATAAAGATTATTTGAGTTTGCAATAAGTCTTAATCACAAAAAAGAATTGAATATCAACTCAATAAAAATTTTATTAATACAGTCTTAATCAGTTTTTTTTTGTAAAGTTTTATGTAAAAGTGGTAACAAATAAAGAATTCATCTTTATTACGATTAATTTAGAAATTTATTAAGTTGATAAATTTTACGTCCTTTATAGTAATTAAAAGTAACTTATTTGTTTGTTTTGTCATGCATATTACTTTTTATTTTTGTTATTTTGTGTAATTGTTAGTTAAAACATGTTTTGAATTTAATAAATTACAGAGTACAATAGAAATCGGAAAAAAATATCCTTTTGCTTATAAGAAAAAAATAATAAAACTACATATTTGACAATGTTGTGTTTGTTATTATTTTTAAAATAATTTAACAATAACATATTGAAAAAACGAACATCAAGGAACACGTTGCGCCATTACGATGTAAGTTGGAGCTTTTTTAAATTAATTACATTTTCTTGTTTATTTATAAAAATAATGAACATCGCCCAAAATGTTACACCTGATCCTTTCCATACCTTGTACTGTAAGTGACGAAGTTTATATATAGAATATACAGATATTCTAGGATAATTGTTTTAGTCATTTCTAGAAGGAATTTAGGTCATGTGTGTCGTTCTAAGATTGGCACTATTTGCTAAGTATTTGTAGCTACTTCCTTCGCGCAAAGCGTTTGTTTGTCAACGTGAACCACTACAACACGTGCAGTAAGCACGACGTGCTATTCCTGTTTCAAATTTGGCCAAATAAACCAAGTTGAAACATTATTTTAGTACAACACAATTTTAGTAATTGTTTTTTTTAGCAGTAGAGTTTTTTGTGAAAGAGTTCGTCTAGGAAAATACTGCCCAAAGATTTAGAAGGGTAAGAGTGCTGGTGAAATTACAGGAACATGGGGCTTGTCAACTTATACCTCAGGGTGACGGTGTATATCTTTGAGTACATAATTTTGTTTCTGTCAAGTAAATAAATGGTTATATGAAGAATTTGGGAACTAGTTAAGCTTCCGATTTCCAAGAAACAAATTGAGTAAATTAATGGGCAGATTTATTTAACAATGTTGTTACTTTCTAGAATATTCGTCCTTATATTTCGAAAAACATTCGTAAATAATGTACAATGGAATGTGCAACGTGCAGCAAAGCTCATGCTGGGAAAGACCGCGATAACTGTTTGACATTCTATCAGCCGCGGTCGCCGCCCGTGTCGGATTACACGGCATGTGAGATCCGATCGTTTGTGGAAATGTGGAACACGGGCACGGCACGGAAGGGGCATCAATGTGATAATTCAAAATCAAGGGCATTCTTTTTCCAAATCCGTCTTACTAAAATCCCAAAGAATCGCCAAATATAGAAAGGATATCAGGATGTATAAACCAAAGAAGGTTTGAATGGACTTGCCGATGTAATAATTCACATACGAAAAACCAAAGAGTTCTTCTATAATACAGGGTTATTTGTAAACGATTGTTGTTTGTAAACGATTGATGTTCCACGATTTATTAATCAATCAGATTGGAAACGGTGATAACATCATCATTATCATCAACCTATCGCAGTCCATTGGCGAACATAGGTCTCTCTCAAAGCGCGCCATTTCGTCTGGTCCTCAGATCGTCGCATTCATCTGCTGCCAGTAGCCTTTCGCAAATCGTCACTCCATCTGGCTAGAGGGTGCCCTAATTACGTTTGCCGAGCCGTGGTCTCCACTCAAGAACTCGCTTCCTCCATCGATTGACGATACTTCGACAGATATGACCTGCCCACTACCACTTGATAACTGTGAGGTAAAAAAAAGTAAAACCTTAGCGTTAATACCACTCCGATGCAAAACGCAGGAGCGGGGGTGGGGTGATGGTGGGGGGCATCGGGTTGGACGCATGCACGTTTGAATTTACTGCCAAATACAGATCTAAAGTGTGAGATAGTACCACAAACATTGAAAGTTATATAAAGTCATGGAACAACAATTATTGTTTATGGCGTTAATCATGTAGTCTTGCGAGGTTTTTAGCATTTTACAAATAACTCTTAGTAGGTAACGCTTATTGGCAGCAATTCATTCGAAAGGCCCAACGGAACATAATTTGTTGCATCAATTTCAAACTTACTACGTTTAGTTACGCACAGGGAATACCCATGAGAACTTATCTATAATACGCGGATGATTTTCGCGTGCCACTCTTTATGATACTCTACACTACTGAAGAGTTCTAAGAAACTCGCACAAAACAAAAGCGACAGTGAAGAATTTGTAAGACGACTTCACATACGTCCTTGGACTAAATATATCTTAAGAAGATAATTCTTCCTCACAAAAGACTTAAGATTCTCGGAAATGGGATGAAACGGAAAGACGCGCGACCTCTTTTATGTTCAATCTTGATATACCTGGCAGGATACAGAAATGGCTTCGTTAGTAATTTATCGCACAGGTTGAACTCGGCAATCGTCTTAAGCCGCGCAGTCATTAGTTAAATTCGCTACAGTAGGTCTGCTAATAATTTGAGCAAATGATTAAATTTTGACCCCTGTCGGAGATTAATGTTCACAATCACGGCGTCTTTCAATACACAATATACATCACGTGTGTAACAGCTAATATTGAGGTTAATTCAATCTGTACTAATTACAACGTCACATATGGACTTGTGCCAAAAGGAAAACTTGTCAACATCAATTAAAGATTTCATTGTCTGAACACAGCAAGAGGGGAAGGAGGAAACAATGCTTTAATTACTAATGGGATAAACCAAGAACAAATCATTTTACTGAAACAACTTCTTAGAAGAGTGATATGTGAAGGAGACCTTGAATGAAGAGATATTTTACTCAAGCGACAACGATGGGTCAAGGATGACCGCGATCGATTTTATGCACGAGACACTTACAAACTAGCAAAGTAATGTCGTGATGGTCACAAAGGCTTTAAAGCTATAGTGTGACGGATCTACAAATTTCCGCGAAGCTGGGTGGAGCGTCACGCTAGACAACGCGCGACAGCGGAGCGACAGTGACACGACAAACAAAGGACAGAGCCCTGTAATACGACTAATTAGTTGAAATGTCACTTTGAGCATCCGAGTGGTCCCGCCTATGATCAAACGGAGTACATGCAAAATGAGTACCATGGTCGCTAAAATAACTTCCACCATGTTGTTTGTTTCAAAGAGGTTAATAACACGAGACGACAGAGAAAAACAAACACATGTGAGGTTTTCTAAGAATATCCGCGGTGTGGAAATGTATGTCAGTGTCTATAAAGAAGGTAACTTAAAACCTTATTATGACAGGAAACCGCAATTAGACTAAAACTAAATGGGTCTGCGACTAATAAAAACAAATTTCTTCGCGAGAAACTTATGCCAACTGACATTTTACGAGATTATAGTCATCAAGCGATTAAGCAATAATTGGCTTTAAAGAGCGCGACCTTTTACAACAATAAGATTTGGAAGTAATAAATACTTACATTACTTACTTCCTATGTCATGATAAAATTTCGCTTGCACGTTTTATAAGCGTATTGTAAAATTGCGAATGTCGATTGCAGCTTGTGTCTTTGTATGCGGTATCAAGTGGTAATGTTTTACCACTGATGACGTATGATATAATACATGTTTTATCGTACCTGAAACAAGAATAATGCAGTGATTAGATACGATTTCAACAAAAGATTATTAAAGAAATATACTTTAAAAATTGCATGTCAACATAAATAACTAGGAATATCGCGGTCTTTTGATATTTTAACAAATTCATTGAGTTAAAATTAAAACGAAGAAATTACAACTTTTTTTAGAAAAAAAAAACTCGTTTCAGACAGCCTTGTATCAAATTTGTAATTACAATTACAGGTCTTCAAGTAACGAATTATTTTAACGTTTCATATAAATTACACAGATTAAAGTATCCGAGGCGTGAGACGCACATCAACTTACAATGTTGCAACAACATGCAATTTACTTACAATTCAATGCATACAAAATGCAATTCTGGAAGTTCGAGCTAATCAAAATTTATTTTCGAGCGTCAAAATCTATATAAAAATGAATGCATGTGTATTTGTCACGTATGCATTCTTCATCATTATTCATTTGATAGCGATAAAACTTTCGTGGGTTGTTTCCTCGTCTGCAAAAGCTTCTGAAACATCAGATCAGAATGCTGGACAATGAGACGGTTAACGCCATAGTCCACAACGCTGGTTTGGGCGGGTGGGAGACCTTTGAAACGTTTTCAGTAGCAATGCAACGCACGGTAGAGCTAGTTTTAAATGCAATTTGAAAAATTGTTTGACGGCAGCATATTGAACGACACTTGATGTGCTATAGACATATATGTATAGTATTTATAGTATTAGTCAAAGACTAATTATCATCCATTTTCTTGCGATTTAATGTACAAAATGGACGGATTACAACATTCCACGATTCTACTAATCTTCTAATCGTCTATGCATTTATTTCTCTATATTTGTAAAAATTTAATTCAAGATGCAAGTTAGAAATCGAATCGATGCAAATGAAACGATGTTGGGAAGTGATAAAACTGAGTTACGGCCCGCTGCCGTGTAGAGAAACTGATGACCACGTGTTTCCTGCGGGACTCGGGGCCAGCTTCCTTATGAGTTTCTTCTGTGAACCGACGGGACTGCTTATTGTTTCAGCTGTGCTACATTTTTCTACAAATCTCGTTAATCATTTTAAATTAAAATATTTGAAGTACTTTAATTTTATTTTCAAAATCGTAAATTTTCATTTATGCCGCTATTTACATAAAATCAATAAGAGGCTGTTAGAGCAACCGTGCTTAACCTCTGAATTAGGAAGCAACCGTTCAAGGTCGACAATTGGCATGTACCTTTTAAGTTCTAAAATAATTTCTAAGTAACGCACAGTCGTGAGTGTTTAGTAAGTAATTTCTATTACTTAAACTCTATCTTTAACCGAGAAACGTGGACACAAATAAAGGGTTGTTGATGATGACGTAAAATCACTTCCATCAATTATTGTTCAGTATGGTAGAAGATAAAAGGGCATTTCAAAAACAAATTATTAAGAAAATATGGGACTAAAAAAGCGCACGCACGAATCATCCGAGCAAAACCCAGTGGAGCGTTCAAGCGAGTTCGGAGTAATTTAGGCTTTGCCCAAACTCCAGCCAAAAATAAAGAGGAAAATAATTACCTCAACAGACCGGAATGCAAGAGTAATTTCAATCATTTTCGTGATGGACTTCACTTCTCCAAATAATGCTCATGGCGGATATTACGTTAATAATTGGTCTCGGGGACGTAGAGGGCCGAATGCACCTTACAAGAGCGAGCATGTGTGCACGATGTGTGCAGGTCTTTGCGCTATATTTATAAAATAATTTCAATAAGTAAACACCTACTGGTTACAAAAAATTGCTGCAACACATTCAATAAAGAGGGAACTAGAATCATTGGTGATTAAATATTGCACAAGGTGGTTATTTCCTTCATCGTCCGGCGGTGGAGGTAATTGAAGAGATTTATGTAAAAGAAAAAAAAAGTCAAGTTATTTTACGCTCGTGAAAAGCTGCAGGCAGTTCGAGCGATCATTAAAGGAGGTCTGACATCATCGCCGAAGTTAGACCACAGTATTGTTGTTGTGCTGACGTCGGGCGAACGAAGCGAGATAGGTTATCGACGGCCCACTCGGTCGAATATTAAAACAATTCTTTAAATGGTAAGTAGCTAAGCGCGCATTTGTTTTCGTTGTGTCGATATTTTGAAGTTCAATGCCACGAGCGTCTGATTACATGCAAAGATTTGCCGGTCGATCGGTTTTATTGCGAGCAGTTTTGCTCGCATTGTGTTAAATGACCCATTGATAGACTGTAAATGGGTGATCGAATAACTGAATACATAATCGTTTTTTATGACTGACCGCAAAATATATAGGGTCATAAATATATCGTTCCGGTTATAAGGTCAGTGTGTAATTTTTTTTACTTATATATCGTTTAATACCGCAGGGATGCGGTTAGGTATCGGGCAATCATGGTTGAGCCCAGATATCGCATTGCTATTACAATAGTTCAGTTACAACATCAAAATATATGAAATTCAAGATTATACTATTGCTGAATGTAAAATTTGAATCTGTACACGTCAACGCAATAGTCGTTAGAATATTGTAAGAAAGAATTAAAATATATCTACTTAATTCAAAATGAGACAAACTTTTTGTGAGCTAGTTCTGGACAAAGCAAGCGGTCCTTACTCAAAATATCAAATTATTTTTTCTTTTGTTTTTAAATATACTTGGCATTTAGGAAATTGTTTAGATGTATGTAATAAACTTTAAACCATACCTAAATTTTAATAATCTTTGACGGGAAGTGAGCAATTAGTTGTTCATCAATTCTGAAAAAGATACAGTTTTTGAGTTAATACCTACACTATTGTGTTATATTATATTATGTGTTTATAAGGGATGACGAGACACTGTCTTGTAACTAGGGCCGAGATAACAAAGGTGACTTAAAAGTGGATTGCAGTAATTTCTTTTACAAAATAATATACAAACTGACTAAGTGGCGTTTCGATGACAACATTACGGATCACCTATTAGAAGTTTAAGTAAGCAACATATTATGAGTTTATATTTCCACTGCAACACGTTAGAAGTATTAGCGTACAGGAAATATTTATCAGCAACATATTGTTATACATAATATTGTGAGTACCATTGAATTACTTGACCTATGCAAAACATACGGTAATATTCTATAAATGGAACAACAGTTCACATATTACGCATATGTTTGTATAACTGTATGTAAAAGTAACTTTGTTTACAAAATCGTGAATTGTTTCTTGCATATTCTGAAAAAAGAGTAGCAAATAGGTATTTTGCACTATAATAATGCTTACCTAAATAAATAAATCAATATGAGACAAAATCACATACGTCGCCCTGATCCAAAGTAAGTAACCAAAGCACTTGATATGGAAATTGGAAACAACGACGGTACCACACACACTCAGACCCGAGACAATGTAGAAAAGTTAGTTAGTTTTCTATATTGACCCGGTCGGGGATTGGATCTGGAAATCGAGATGGTGACATCATGAAAACCGGTGTACAAGTCACTCGACAGGGAGGTTTTCAAAAAATCTGAATTGTAATTCATAGAATCAGGTTTCTGACATAATGCATCGACCGTTAATTGTTCTTGTACTATGCAAAGTAAAGATGTAATTTATACGTCTAGGCCATTGTCCGTATGGTCGAGGGTTGAGGGTTGAGGACTTCACACGTTTTCAGAGGATTGAGACGTGCAGGTTTAATTTTTTACACCGAAGAGCTCATGGAAAATTGTAAATTAAATTTCCCGGACTCGAACCCACGGCCACTGCTTGAGAGGCGGTAGGTCCGACCGTAATGGTCGCTACCACAGTTTTTTAGGCTACCACGACTCTTTAGGCTACCACGATTTTTTAAGTAAAGATGTCTTCGTTAATAATTGTCGGTTACTTTTATTTTATTTCAGTACATAATTTTAGTATTCTCTCTTTGTCTTATTGTGTTTCGACCTTTATCGTGATAAAACACTAGATATATTTAAAGGTAAATGTATTTTTAATCAATCTGTACTCAATGTTACATTAATACAAGTAAAATAGCTCTGCCTTGTGGTACTCCAGACTTGAATCACCACTCTATATGCAAATTAACTGTAATGAGACTCTCGTTCAGAGAACGGGCATCGTACATTGGTTTTTAATTAGATTTTCGGCTTTTAATTAGGTTTTCCGGTTTATATGAAGTTGATTTAAATAGAATTAATTATTATTGTAAATGCTATGTTAAGAACATAAACGTCCTAGTACCAAGAATAGCTGAATAAACTGGGGATATTAAAGACTAGCTGGTGGCCGTGACTTCGTCTGCGTGGAATAAGTACTTCGAGTAGCCTACACTCCATTAATTTTCACAGCTTTATGGGTTCTCCAAACAAACTTTCATTCCCTTATTTCACACCCTTTAAGATTTATTCTTGTGACAAAAGTAGCTTATGTGTTTCTCCCAGGTCCGATCTATCTCTATACCAAAATTCTTCGATATTGGTTCAGTGATAGGTATGGGCGTGAAAATGTAACAGACAGAATTACTTTAGTTTGTAATATTAGTTTGGATTATGAGCTAAAGGTAGTAATTTTCTCTTGACCACTCTTGACAAAGACAGGGTTATACGAAGGAACGAGCTCGCCCAGAAGATGCCTACTCATTCGCACCTCAAAGATACTCGGGTGGTGGTAGGTGCTCGAAAACACAGAACTAAAACACGCTAGAACTCATTGTGTGGTATGGATAATTGTATCGAGTAATTATTATGACGTCAGTTGGGATTTGTCGGTTTCCTTGCAATAATGGAATACTAATTGCAATAAAAATACTATTAACGCATAGAAGATCCCTAAATGATGAATAGTAAAATCATCGCAAAAACATGGCGGATGTCATTTCCAGATAAACAAGATTTGATTTTGACTATCTAATCCCCACAAAAAACGGACTACAAGTAATTTAAAACGTCTCCATCATGGCGTGACTCGGATTCAAGCCCGAAACTTCACCATAAAAGAGTGCTCGAAAAAACAAACCCGTTTGTTTTGCTTCGTTCTACAGTATTTGTTTGGCAAATTTAAAAAGACCTCAGACATTTATCATTTACACTGAAAGTGTAGTGAAGATATAAAAGTAACAGATAATCTCAAACCGGTATATCTTCTAGGCAACAAGTAAAAATATTAACAAAAAACTCGCAAATAAAATTGCGCATTGTGAAAAGTGCGTGGAGGACCTATAAATTTTTCGGTAATTTGCATGAGCTACGTCATGTAAACAAGTTGATGGAAAAAGAAGTGTTGTTGGAAAAAGATAATTGATTACCAAGTCAAGGTCAGTATTAACGCAGTGCAATGTTTCGAGTAAACAACAATCATGCCTACATTGATACTGCAGTGGTAAAGGAAATATGAAATTAAACTCTTGAGTGGAGTCAAATTATTTCTTTGAAAACGAATGCTACGTTGGCAATACAAAGAAAACGTGACTTGGGAAAACACAAATGGAATGAAGGTGTATTATATTTCGCATATGAGCAATTTGACTGATCGTAAATAATAGCAGGAGTGTAAATAGCCTATTGTCTGAAGGCATTAACGAAAATTGATGATGAGCACATGGCAATGCAGGGACTATATCCACCGTATATTGTCTGATTAATATAAAGTCTTAGTTTGCAATAAAACTGATGTCTTAATAAGAGAAATATCAAGACAAAGTTTTGTTCCAAGCATTGACATTTAGGTCGAAATCGTCGTAACTGTTTTTTCAGCAGATTGAATTATTGATCTCGTTCGTTGCTTAGCGAGCCAGTTAGAACTAGTTTCTAGTGTACTTGCAAGTACGCTTTAAAATAATAAGAATGATGTCATGATTTTTTTACCATCACTTGGTAACGTTAATGTGAGATGAATTGCTTTTTGTTCGTGCTCGACAGATGTTGCTTACAATGGTTCGTTTGCATTTAAATATAGCCCGCTATATGTATATTGCGTATGTTTAGGTTTTGCCAATCAAAATGTGCTCTTATTGCTTAGTAACCTCAAAACTCATCTCTTAAATAACTTATTGAAACATTTTGTACACATCAACATCATCGGGTCACTGTTTAACTACTTAATTTCAAATAATCAATAATAATGTATCAATGCCACATTAACGAAATAAAAAATCGGTAATATTTTACAATTCAAATATTTGATTTATAACGTAGTCCAGCTTTAGCAACGTGTATTAGCACGTACTGAAAATAGAAAACCCAAGAGGAACGTGATAGTAACTAAGAAATGGCAGATAAAAGCGAGAACGGGTGTCATACATTCTCACATGATGAAATTTCTACAATATTCCATTCACCATTGTCACACTTCGTTAACACTTTTGAGTTTTTAATCGCACTTGGCTTCAAGAACGCCAACGCCAAATCGACTGAAACTGCGCAAGTGAAAAGAATTTGAAGTATTAGATACTTTTTTAATACCTACCAGGCATAGAGTGAGTAAAATAATGTTTGTTAGAAGAGAACAGGTTGATGTAAACAAAAAGTGACAGGAAGACATCCGTCATTTAGCGCTGCTATCGTCGACGCTCTTCTAAGAATGGAATCACGCCACGTTAAAGATCCGGTGCCGAAGTATTATTACAGTGAAAATGTCGGTGTTGAAGAATGAATGAAAGTAGGTGTACTTGCTAAGAATGAATCATATCAGAAGCGCCTTTAATGATGCCACTCTTTAATCAATATTATTTGTCCCATGTTATGTAAAGTTTATGACGAAATCAAATTTACTATAACTAAAAGTAACACACATAATAAAAAATAAAACTGGGAAGTGCACTATATTGATTGGTCGAAGTGATAGATACCAGCAATAAAACGTAACAAAAATGGACTGGCATAAAACAACCCGTGTTATTTAAGTGAACTCATCAAAGTACAAGAAACAAACAATTTGGACCACCGCAATGTTCGACCAATCGAAAATCGACGCGTTGTCCTGTGGATCAAAAATAAATTTAATGTTTTCATATTTTTTGACCGTCTCTAAATAAGTGTAACATCAGGTAATGTTGAAATTATGTGGGCGTTAAGAGTTTATAAATTGAACAGATGGACGCGACAAAAAAATTCTATGACGATAATTGACTAATGTCAAGGAAATTGCGATTTGTGTTTGTTGGTCTCCGCATTCCTCTGAGCTGCGTTATATAAAATAAATATTTTTTTCAGGTATTCTACCGACTTATCGACTGATATTAATTTGCATCAATGATTGATTGCGTGTCGATATTCGTGTGGCGACTGCCATCTGTCACCAAATTTGCACAATATAATAAAAGGTTTATGTAATCGATGGCCAATTATTTTCCTTATAGGTTTGCCAAATAACGTCAAAGTAGAATCCGAGAGTTGATATTTAGAAACTCAGTAATAAATTATCGTTGCATGTAAGGAAAACGTAGTAAACTTGAGTCGAATATCAATTTACTTTTATACACGCATAGTATTTGTCATTCTGGGCTGGCAGAGCTTCTGTGGCAAAGTCCATTTGTCCGTCACCTCGGGTCTTCGTTGGCACGATGATATCTACAATGAGATGCTAATGTATTGCTTGGCACGCTTGCTTGTCAAGACTTTCGGCCTATCAGATTTCTGTATTATTAGCGGCGAGTAATGTAAGCATAGGTAAATTGTGATTGTACTTTTTTGACGCTTTTGTTGCTCACAAAACCAATAGAGCTAGTCTCGTATTAAATACTGTTTGCCCTTGGAAAGATTTTGGCAGGCGGTACGTTGAGCTATAACATTTCGCTTTATAAATAGCTTTTCTTCAGTTATATGGCAGATTTGGATGTTAAATGAAAATCAGCATTAAGAATTCCGCAGCGGTTGCCAAGGTAGAAGATTATGGAGGCAACAAAACGTGATTGTTCTGGGAAACAACAAAATTTTGAGGCGAAGCCAGTAATTTACGACGTAAAGGCACGTATGGTTCCAACACGCGTCGCACCCTACCTGATGAACAAATAATGGTACCTAGTAAGGGAATTTAAATAAAAAACTCATTTACTATGTCACTCGTTTCAATACCTTCATGGTTCATGGCGATCACAGCGCCAAAAACTTCAAAAATGATGCGAGTCCAATACTGCTCTAAGACCACAAAAAGCGGTGCGTGTTAGATAAAATACAGTTTTTGTGCCAGTAGATGACTTAAAATAGAAATAGGTACAGGATGTAGTACGAATATAAGTACTTTTTGGTAGTAGAGCGGGAGGCATGCGTACTACGCCAAAACTTATTATCATACCTCAGGGTCATCGCAAAATAAGTTCACCGCCCGTGACCTAGGGTTTTGTTTGCAACGTGATGGCCGCCCGAAAGCAGCAGACAGCATGTCGCCGCCGGTTCTAAAGCGAGACGGGCTATTAGATAAAATCAAACGTGTGAAAGAGATGGACAATGACCATGGCGTTGGAATAAAAACTTCGAGGTGTGGTGATGTAATCCGAGAGAACATAAAACTCGGTTTTATGACTGATGAATAATGACCAAAGTTTACTATCACAATTTGTGTCAACAAATGTTTGGAACATCGATCTTCGGAAACTTTGATGGCAATATCGAGAGCTACTGGTGCTCAACATGTAATTACCGTTTTGTTTTTTATAGCATCACTACATTGCGGTCGATTGTTCGTTAAACGCGTGTTTATGTTAACGATTTTATACGGATAAAAAACGGTTATCAATGTTTTCGTGAAATTGACTGTGGACTGTAAAAACATCGTAATTGGCTCAAGATGTGCGTTGGAATTTGAAAAATAACAATTACATACACTAGCCAAGAGATAATTAAATGTGACGGTAATGATAAATTGTTTCGTGAACGATATCAACAAATAGGTAATTAATATCACGTTTTTGTAGCCTGATTCTATGTTATTGTTTTGTAATTACAAAGTAGCATGTGATTATTAGAACAGATGAAGTAAACATTACTCGAATGAACGGTGAACTTATATTTACCGCCGCTTGTATGGGAAGAAAATTCCCGCGATGCAGGTGAATTATTTAAGTGCACAGAAAATGAAAACATGCTAACTATAATCTCTTGTTGTTGCTGCATGGATACCGGCTACAATATATTTTGTTTTGACGCAGACTACAAATTTTAAAACTAAAATATCTAGTTGGCTGATCGAGGAACGAGTAACAAAAATAAGTCTGTCGACACTAGCTGTGGCTATCCTTGACCATAATAATTTAAAAGGAAACTTATAGGCTATAAATTACGGACTATCAGTAGATAATTTTGAAATTATCTAAAGGTGCAATTACGGTTATTATTGAAGTCATACTATAAACTTAATAAGACAGGATAAATGTCTGGAAAATTACATGTAATATCTAGTTTCTTGATAAGTCGTCAAGAATGAAGATACATTTGTACGCATAAACAAAGTTTGTAGACAGAAATTAGACGACATTTGTATGATTACTGTATTCCTTAACCAGGGCTGGTCAGTATTTGAATTGTTTGTGGTCTACAATTTGTAGAATACAAATACGTATTTTAACGACAACCTAAAAATGTATTTTGTAATTGATGTTTTAAATATTTTCGTGGTGTCCGGTTAGCGGTAATTATTGCAATTTGAATTTTAAATAGATGAGATCACCGCATTATAAAGTTTAAATAAGTTATAATATGCATTTTACCCAGTCCCGTTGCTATAAATGTTTGCTTACTGATAGATTAGAAAATTCTTTAAATTCAAAAATACTTTGATCCTCAAATAAACGCGGGCCACCACGCAAAAACTGTAAAATATTGCGGTGATTTAGCAATAATTTAGAGCTGTAGATGCTATTTCCATTTGCATTTATTTTTGTAGTAATTATTGTACCATTATCCGTTTACAATTTGTAGCGGTAACATAGTCAATCGATTTCTTTAAAAACAGGGTGTAAATATTTTCCCTTTACTTTATTATAAGGGTACAGAAGACTAGTGCTCCTTCTAAAATCGTCAATAAATCAATTTCCGAAGTTAAAAAAAAACAGCAATATGCAGGCTAAATAGACTAATTGAACACGCAAGTAATAATTTAGATACTTTGTGGAAGTATATGTAAGATATGAATATGTATATCACATAATAAACCTTAACTAGTAATAGTACATGCTTTACTAGTCATGTTGTCTGGCGCATCGTGTAATCGCATGGTTGCGTGCACAGTGAAATCGTTTAAGTGCAAGCTGCAACAGCTGCAAATGACTAGCCAGACTGGGTGGCGACTTGTGAAGGTAATTTGATGGGGAAGATTTACAATCGATATTAAGTAGACGTGAACCATGTTTCTTTCGTCATTAAGTAGTTTACTTGAAGTCGACTACTGGATCTCAGTGGATAAAAAAAGATTAATACGAGGTTGAGCCTCTTCATGTCTATTCCTTTTAGAGAAAGAATATCATATCGAAGGCATACACTGTACTATTGTTGCCCAGAACTCGGCCACGCCGACCGCGTCACTAGTACCCGCCATTAAATCCTCAAGATTGGAAGTGTTAGGGCACACAGTGCTGCAACAGTGCAGTTTACTCGCACAGCACAAATAATTCTGGTTAAAACTACTCGAAAATCCCCTAAACAAATTGTCTTTACTCCAGCCAACCTGAGTCCGAAGCCTAGTTGAAGATTTCCTGATCGACTAAAGCAATTCGTGTCCAGGAGCAAGAATCTCAGAAGACAGGATAAAAGTAGAGGGTGCTCTCGCACCAAAGGTTGCATCTCGACTGAGCTGGTTCAATGCTCACACAATCGACACTGTTGCACTGTGAAGTACAACGGACATCAAACATAGGGTGCAGAGTGTCGATATTTTTTTTGGCTCTTTCGCAAGAACAAAAGTTCTGCGGACGCCTGGCGGAGATATGCCAGCCGGTGCAGGCGTATACTAGCATACTTATAACTGTACGAATTTTATTGGTAAGTAGCCGTAGGTGTCGCGGGTTAAACACGTCTAACGCTTGTCATTTAAATTGGCCCTAAATGTGTAAATCTTTGAAAATCAAATTGCTATGAATTCTGGGTTTAAGAAATGTTGAAAATGATTAAAGTACATTCATCATGTAATTGTTAACAATTTTGTATAGAGCTGATCATAGCAATCGGTATACTAGTAAGAGTCACAAAATTTGCTTTTAGCAACATGTACCCAACATGATATCTATGTATACTTCTTGCACAATTATGATACAAGTAATCTTGTTTGTTAGGATTGCTATTAAAAGTTCATTAATTATATCAGTAACATAAACATTTAATCTTTATATCTTTGATTAAACTATAATTACAGTGAGGTTGTGTTGGATACGTCATTCATTATGATAATGCGTTTTATTTTTGTTTGGATCCGGGTTTAGTAATGTTGTAATCAAACACTATTTCTTTAATCAATAATAATAATTTTACCGGTCGTTGTGGCGATCTTTGAGGAAAACTTTTGTCTATCAATGGACATCTTTCAACTGAAATGATAATGATGAATTTAACATCCTTTTCCTTGTGAACTACACCAGCCAGAGTGTTCGTTACTTTCAGATGATTAAAAAATTTCAACATAAAGTGCCTTCACATAAAGTTAATATCTCCGTTTACATACAGGCTTATAGATGCAATGTATTGAGAAACACCGGTTATGAAATAACTGTAGAAAGTCGTAGAAATAGCGGATATTGACAATTTACAAGTTACGAGGAAGAGTTGCTATGAAATATGTTTTATATGAACCTTAACTAAATGTATTAGGTATTTTGCCTTTGAATTTCGACTTAGGAAATTAACTTTTCCATAGTGAATTCCGTTGCTATAGCACTCTATTTTGAGACTAGGTAATTGGAGTGGTTGTCTCGCAAATAGGTATTACAAACCGATGTTGGGAAAATGACTGCCAAGTTGAAATGGGACTGAACACGTCTGCCACATGCACCCACAGAGACTGGGCGAAATATTTGTATGGCCTACATTTATTTCTCTCGTCGTGGAGTTTGGATGTAATTTGTGATTGTCAATGTGTGTGGCCCATGACACCCGCAATACAGGGTTTCCCTAGTGCGGGTTATGAGTGTGTGCGTTAAAAAAAAAAGAAAAAGAAGGCGGGATGATTTGGACTACATAGGGGACTGGCCTGACATTACGCCACACCAGGAGCTGTGAAAGTCCAGAGAGGCCTCTTCTCAACAGTGAGTCCCAATAATAGACTAATTAATCAAATATATTATTACTTTGCACTCTTATAATATTAAATTTTCTCATAACATATTAGCATTTTTAAAGAAGTCAATTACCTAGTGACGTAGTTTTAGTTCCAGTCTATAATTGATGATCTCAAGACCATAAAATGGTTAAAGTTTTAACCACAGTAAATTAAACACTACAACTGAAAGGAAGGATATTGCATATTGGTTTGGATGATGTCACCAGTGGTTTGTCGTGCTTTTTATGATGATTCAATGTTTTGATGCAACTGGCGGTCCGGTTAGGAAACTTTAAAACTGAATTTGTATGAATCTTTTCGTGGTTGTGGAACTGAGATGCACCTTTATTGAACGTCAGCAATATCGTAGTTTGATTCAGACAAGTGATTCAATGAATCGCTAGTTCAGACAACTTTTAAGTGGAATTTGAAATATGGAAAAGGTTAATAGGAAAATTGTGTAGTGAGAATTCAGCAACCAGCGCGAGTACAAAATTAGGCACGTTCGTAGAAACGGATAGTTGTAGTTTATTTGTTCTTTTTCAGTTCTTATTTTCTTGTGCTGAAACGACTCTAGTTATTCCCTTTTATTTCAAGAATTGATATTGTTTTGTTTTTTTTTCTTCCAGGTCAGTGGTTTTGTCGCTTCATTTATGTATGAATCAGTGTGGTGCATGGGTTACATCACCTGATTGAGCCCACAGTTACAGGGAAACCTGTCCGTTTAGTGACGTCACGAATGAGACGTCACTTGTTAATAAGATCAGCTGTGAGGTAATAGAAAGCCTAGCCAAGCCTTTTAAGTAGCTTAAATCAAGGTTTTTTTAAAATACATTGTAGTTTGTTACGACATATAATATACGTACAATTTACCTTTTAGAGTTGTTAACCATGTTTTTGAAATTAACCTTTTCTATTCATAGATTTTTGTGTTCACAAAATAAAAACTGGTCAAATTTTCCAGCAAAATATTTTTCATATAACAATAACGATTCTAAATTTACACAACTGGCTATTCATAAAACAAAACAAGATGTAACCTTCAAAGCTCAGAAGTTTAGTGTTATTAACGCCAAACTACGCGAAATACACAACACATGGCTCCCAGGTGAGTTTATGTGTGTGAAATGGTGGCCATTTAAAACATACAAAATTCATAAGCGATAAAAATAGTCCACGGACATTAAAATGGGTAAAGATGACATCATCATATGTTTTGCGGTATTAACTTTAAAACCACAAGATGGAAGAACAATACAATTTATTATTTTAACCAAATTGTAACTACAAACGTAGCGGCTTGGTGCAACACAAAAAAGCAAACCGCATGAAATGATAAGTCAAAGAAGGATGGCAACATCCCGTGTGTTTTGTGACCCAGTAGTTTTGATGACGTGCATTAAAGAGCGCTATCAATACTTGTGACTCATTATCCAAGCATCAAAAAAACTAATTGAGTTGAGAGAACGAATACAGCCTGTAGAAGCTGGGGTTATAAAGTGGATATAGGTTTTGTTTATAACATTGTCCTGTATTTCGCTTCAGATGTTCGTTCGTAGTAGCAGAAAATACCAAGTTTTCAGTGTGTTCCTAAAAATAATAAAGAATTTGCTGAATATTCCTAAATCTGCCAAACTCTGCCACATTTAATACAATGTTAACATGTTCTATCGCAATTAAAATGAATAAAAATTAAATCTGCCCAAATGGCAGAAAACTGCCACAAATGGTCACACTGTTCTCAATCTCAAAGTGACATTGACATTGGCAAGAGGCCTCTTGTCAAAACGTTCCTTTGCTAACTTTCGTATCTCTCATTTAAATATTGTCCAAATATTTTTGTCAAATTGAGTTTTATTTTTTACTTTATGTCATTATT